GCATGTAAATCAGTTTGTGGATCTCTCATGATCCTCCCGATGCCATAATTCGGTTAAATTAGTTCCGAGATAATATACACAACACGATCATCATTGTATTACGGTACACCTGGCTCCTTTCCTAGCACCTCGTCAGTCCCGTCACTTTTGGTTTGTAGATCTCTCGTGATTAACAGGGGGTTTAGCCAGAGGCGTTTCGCATGACGTATTTATACAGGATGATCAGCTAATTTAGTCATATGTATTCTTATTCGAAATCTTATTGGGAGAAGTGTGACGGTCACAGCTAAACCAATGATATCTGGCAAAGTTTTGGAACAGAGTTATTTATGCCGATTAATATGGTAGAATGGAAACCGAAAACTTTATGATTTTAGCTCTGAGAGCCGTGACATTAATGTCACACTACTTTACAAATAAAAAATTAAAAATGGTCGTAGCGGGGGTCTCAGTAGAGATCACCCTTTATTATCAAAAGTTACACGAAATACATATAGTAGTAGGTACGCATTTATTCGTTTAATCTAGCAATAAGAAAATCGACATCATCTGGGGATAAATTTAAGATTGTAGTAGCATTAAAAGACTTTAACCGTTCTATTACTTCTATACCACCAACATTACTAAAGAGCCTGAAAACCTTTTTACCCCGTTCCTTTCTTTTTCGAAGGTTAGTCTCGGTAAGTTTATCTTGCACAGAAATCTGATTCATGATGTGATCTAGATTTAAAAAGTAGATATGATGATAAATAATACTGTAGATATCATAATGGAAGTTTGGTTACCAGTAGCAACTTCTTCAGACTTACTAGTTTCTAATCTTGGACGCATCAAGAACAAAAAAGGTATGATATTTAAGCGAAATCCCTGTAAAAGAAAAGGTTATATACAAATAGGGTTAAAAGTCAATAATGTTTATAAAAATATTGCTGTTCATATTTTAGTTGCACGAGCATTTATCCCTAACCCAGAGAATAAGCCCCATATTAATCATATCAATGGTATCAAACATGATAATCGGGCCGATAATTTGGAATGGGTAACTCCTAAAGAGAATGCTGAACGTAGGGTATTCCCAAATCACGGCCGTATAGGATCCAGAAAAATTGTGCAGATAACGTTAGATGGAAATGTTGTTCAGATTTGGGATTCTATCCGGTTCGCCAGTAGGGCACTCAAAATTTCAGAAACTTGCATTTCAGAATGTTGTAGTGGGAAGCAAAAAACTTCTGGTGGCTGGCGCTGGATGTATTATGAAGATCACATAAAACCCGATCCAAATGAAGAATGGAGAGAAATAAAACTTGATTCACGAAAATTCAGAGTTTCGTCTCTCGGAAGAATTCAGTTAACAAATGGTGAAATCACTCAAGGTTCATTGCATATCGGTTATCGAAAAGTTGCTCGAGAGGGATATCTTGTTCATCGCTTGGTAGCATTAGCATTTTGTCCCAAAGAAGAAGGGAAAGAATATGTAAATCATATTGATGGAAATCCTACCAACAATAGCGCATCCAATCTCGAATGGTGTACACAGAAAGAAAACACTCAACATGCTGTACGTCTCGGGCTTCGTAACTCCAGGGATAGTAATAGATACCAACGTCCTATTAGGCAGATTTTTGACGATGGTTCTACTCGAGAATTTCCATCCATAGCTGAAGCGCAACGTACAACTGGAATTAACCAGTCAAATATCGGTGTAGTATGTCGAGGACTCCGAGCTTATGCTGGAGGATATCGTTGGGAGTACGTGAAATGCAATGATACATGATAAACATTGAGTTACGAAATTTTGATTGCTAAAAATGGATATATCCTTAAGAGAATTTTTTATTATTGTAAAAATAGCACAAAATCGGAAATACATGAAGTCTTTATGCTCGGAATGTACCTGCCTATTGTTTCTTGATTTTTTAGTTGCTGATTCATCGCTGGAAGTTTGCATGATTGCAATAGGAGTCATATCAGCCAGTTGCGAGACGTACTCATCACCCGCCAGACGTACTATTGGGCTAGCAAAAGGCCGGACATTTTCTCCATCTCGTACATCCACCGAGACGTACTCATCACCCGCCAGACGTACTATTGGGCTAGGTGGAGACAAGAAGTTTATGCATCATGCTAAGCAGTGCGAAACCTAAATAAGATAGAAAACAGTTTCCCGTAAAACTTTCAATCACGGTTACGCGGAGTGGGGTCATATCGTCACGTTATACACGTGATAATCATTGTAAGCACCCCTTTTTTGAACTTAATGCTGGCCAAGGTCCTCATAATTCTGGCCAAAATCGTGATAATTCGGACCAGGGTGCTTACTTTCGGGGGTGCTTTCTAACAGCAAAATACAGTACGTATTTTATATCTTTGATGAAACGTGTTATCTAAAACTTTACAACTTTTACAAATAGACTTCAATATGGTTTGGGTCCCTCCAGAACATCTTAAGCTCATAGTTGACAATTATTTCTTTGAAACTATGTGGAACGACTGGTCCCTTGTTGAGTTTCTTGAGACTAAGAAAAGTCAAATCCTGGCTGGCCTTCAAAAGATAGCTGTGCATCATTCATATAAGAAAGGTTTACAATTGATCTTGGAAGCAAAACCACCCGAAGACGTCTCCTTCGCCATTATGAAACAACTAACACAAAAAATGACGGAAAGCGAAGAAGTCAAAATGTTCTGGAAAGTAATAATTTCTGAGAAGAAATATAGGGAACAGTTAGCTAATGTCAGAGCCAGTGCTTCATTCGAAAGTGTAAGTCTATGTACTTTGCATGTGTTTTTCGATTACATTGCATTAATTTAGAATCATTTCCTTTTAGAATGTTCTCAAGATTCGCGGGAAAAGATTTGCTGAAGAAATTGATGATGTGGCTCAACGAGATATAAAGAAAGTGGAACTTGAAAATGACGATGAAGATATTAGCACACCTTCAAGAATTAAATTTGAAACTCAAGTTGAAAAAACAGAAAACGAAAAAGTGGAGTTCGACAAGGAACAAATCGCGTTTTGGGCAGGCAACGATAAACAAACTAACAATCAAAAGTTAAATTTATTCTCGACTCCTCATAAACCGATCCTTACATCATATAAGTTTGGTATTATATCGTCTAAAGTTATTCCTGGGTTTAAATCCCTTAAAAGTACTCTTAATATAAGATATCCTGAGATAGTAAACGAGATCGAAACTCATGAGGAAGAACAGAGGATATTAACTAGCCTAGGAACAACTCTTAAGGTATGGCTGCGAAAAACTTTATCGGCATCCACTCCAGAGGAGTTATATGGATACCTTAGGGAGCAATTGCAAGGCGAAAACATCACAGACAGAGACAAAAAATTATACGAAATATTCGAATTAACGTTAAAGGAATTTTATTTAATGATCAAATACAATCCAAAATATGCTCTCATGAGGTACAATTCAGAGAGAAAATTCCTCGTTGAAAGGGTGTCAACACCATTTAAACTCGTCGAATATGTGTTTGGGACTATTACGACGTATTGGATTGAAAAGGAAATTATGTCAACAAAGGCAACAGAGTTCGTAGATGATCCAATTTGTGAGCCAGTATCTAAGAAAGCTGATGCACTGGCCACAGACCTTGCATATAATATAGACGTGATGAATATGGAATCATCAGGAGGTCCCTTTCAACAAGATAGAAAACATACTCTCGAAGATTCGGAAAAGATCTCCAATACTGGAGTAGACATTCTTCTCACAAGTCTCCGAAAGTTTCTTGGCGCTAGTGTTGAGACCGCCAAGAAACTTAAAACATATAACATTCAAATCATTGGTATGCAAATTATTTCTTGTATTACATATATATTGATATACTGATATTGATATAACAATTTGTAGAAGACCGAATTACACTTATAGAAGTATCCCTTTATAAGCCACGGATATGCAAAGAAATTGAAGTCAGAAGCGCCACCTTTCCATTTGCTTTATCCTCCATAGGAGAATACATGCGTATTTTTGAGCTCATAACATATTATGTGGTATGTTATGGTATGTTGTTCTGTCCAATCCTATTAAAATAAGTTATTAACTTTTGTACATATCTAGGACGGACTTCACAAGCGCCAAGAGGTCATACAAGAGTTGTCTAAAGAAAGTAATGGGATAAAGGAGGTAACTTCAGAAATGCTTTCGGATTGGTGGAATAAGACTTTATAATCTGCTATCTGCAAACAACCGAAATGGTTGTGTAATAGTAGCCTATTTTATTTTGTATTTAGAGTTATGTTACGGAAAATCATATTGATGTTGTATTTTATTAGAATTATATATACTCATGTATAGTACAGGTATATGTATGGGCAAGGAAAAAAATAAAATAAATAATACATGATACTGGCGAACTACAAACAGATTGGCCACTTAAATTGTGTTGATTGATTTTTTTTTTTTGCATTACAAATTGAAATTTCATGATCACTACTACACTTTAATATCCTCCTCTGAAGTTGCGTTAAAGCGAAAAAAAGTTGCTCTGCAAACGTTTCCCGCAGGGTCTTCGATTGCAAAGTCGGAATAAGAAATCGGTAATACTTTGAGTAGTAAAGACTTGGGCAATATCTTCAGAACATTTTGCACACGTTAAACTGCTTCGTTCACTTTCGGTTTGTTGATACACGGCAACCTCGACATCTTCCATAGCATCTTCGTGTATTGTCGGCGAAGTTATTGTAAACTTTTCGCCCATCAGGGTTGATATAGCTGAAACACCGCTTGATTGGGATGATTGCGAATCCCTCCTAGCTTCTATAGTGTCAACGTTCTTTCCACAATCAGGGAATGGGCAGGAGTTCGGAAGCTAAGTCTATGGTAAGTATGACCACAGGCGAGCATGGTGAATCTTGTAATGGGAAATGAAAAAATTTCCTCATTACATTCGGAACATGGCCCTAGTTCTGGAACGTCAACATCTCTGACATCTTTCTCTTCGAGACTTTTAAGTATTTTATATCCAAGGATTCTAAGATTGGTAAGAAAAGACGGTGACACACTACTTTGCTCTGAACCCGACATGATAGATATACTACTAGCTTTTGCCAATATTTTTTGCCATGATTCATACAGCCACTTTTATAGCACTTGTAATTTTCGCAGGAGTAAGATATTGCCGGATTTTCATTAGAGGTCCCTTTTGGACCGGGCAATTACACACCACATTTTGTCATTCATTACCCTCTTGCAAATCACAGCGATTAGCATCTCCTGGCCGATCCTGACCTGCAAATTGCCCTGTATTAGAATACATTAGCTTAGCAATCAAAATTTCGCTAAAAAGTTTATTCATTTATCGTCACTGGCTAAGAGATCAGATGCAGTGTTAAAGAGCTTTTATTTTGCGATACATTCTATAAATACAAAGGATGGGTATATGGGCCGGGATATAAGATCACGGATAATAAATCTATTTCTGATTGCATAGCAGATACGAGCAGTAATAAGAAAAAATAATGTGAAAGTGATTCGAAAAAAAATAAACTTATAAGATAATCCAGTACTAAAGTATGTGATAATTCTCCTACCTTTAGCGCTTGACTTCGTCGCTCTGGCTCAGCAGGCGGTTACCGGAGAGATAATAGGACTCATCATTGGTGAGACTTTCCTTTCATATCTTCCGCATGATAATAATAGCCTCTATCGCGTCCACCATATTTATCATATCCACCATATTTATCATATCCACCATATTTATCATATCCATCATATCCATCATATTCATTATATAATCCTCCAAATCGGCTGATAAGGATGAATTTTCTTCAGGTATGGTAAGCTTTCTTCGCTAGTCTTAGAATTTTCAGTCACATGATTTTGGCGTCCCGAGGTCGGCGAAATTTCTGTCTTAATAAAAGAATTAGAATTATCATTAGAAAAATAGTCTATAACCTTTTGGAGTTCCTCATTAGTAATTTTTGAGATAGAATTCGCGCTATATGTTGTGATATATCGAACCTTATCTATCCCTATTTTTTCGAATAAATTAAAGATTTTTATAGCTCTCTGAGT